CATGCCTTGCTTTTGTGATCATTTGACTGTTAAGAATTGAAATTTTTCTTTTGGGAAAGCCACTTAGAAAACGAAGTGAAAACTCCACTTGCAATAAAGAAATAGGTGGCAATTATATTCAAGTACTCAACCTAGCTTGAGTCTAAAACGCCAGTAACTTTTCCCTCGACGAACGAGCTAGTGAAAATGACGTACATGGTTTTCAAAACAAAAGCGAGCAATGTCTTATTCTAACTTTAAAAAAGCGAAAATGTTTGAAACTAATAATTGAAATAATTCGAGTCTCGAATATATTGCCACCATTTCAATCGGAAATTCAATATGAAATTCTTATCTTGTCTTCCTTCACACTGAATGATCCACCAAGTTTTCACGACGAGATTCGGTCTTCATTTCTTCCTTTTGGCCATTTATTCTCCCTAAAATGGAAAAGACAAATAATAACGTTAGGTCATACCAACAGAGCGTAAAACCAAGACTACTGTAATATCCACACATTACAAAAATACAAAACTGCGGCAATCATTTTGGACATAAAATATTGCTCTCTGCTAAAGTTATGCTTGTTGTTCGACGACAGCAATTTGAAAACAATCTTTTTCTACAATTGACTCTGGTAACGTCGTTTTCCTCTTAAAGAAGAGTCTGCGGTAAATTTAACGCGTATGTAAGGAACACTGTTGCTGCAAAGGCAGAAGGTAACGGTCACGTTTGAAACTTTGCTCTCACAAATTACATTGCAACGCGAAAGAAGTGAGAAAATTTCATCCTAAATTATTGAAGCGCCGCCAACAACAACTAGCTTCTGCAACAAACGAAAGACGGAACCAAGGCACGCGTATGCTCAGGCAAAAGATGTGAATTATTTCCGTTTGGCACAGGAGCAACTAAAAGTTTTAAAGCATATATATTTACTCACCATTAATTTGAAGGTTTCAATATCTTTGTTTCGTCTTCTTTAAGGGTCAGAACTTGTGAAACAGCGCCGGACAGGAGGAGATGAATCCAATGGTCTTTACACATCCGCGAACTGTTTGGTTTGACGCACATGCTGCAAGATGTGAGGTGATGAATATGGATTACAAGCAGGAGCAAATCCCTGACTAATGCGTCGCATATTTTTTGCGGAGAACACATTTTTTTCATCCCTTGGGGCATTTTGCATAAAAATCCCTTTATAAAGACAGTTTTCTCGTTTGCATTGTAATAAATGCAGAAGATAGAAGCGCGGAACTTTCTGACCCACGCTGAAAAAGGGCGCTGAAAATCAGTGCACTGTACCATTGGAAAAATTTGCGGCTTTA